TACTAGATATTGTTTCTATGCTACTTAATTCAATGTCACTTTATAGAGCACTGGCTACTAGATATTGTTTCTATGCTATTTAATCAATGTCACTTTATAGAGAACTGGCTACTAGATATTGTTTCTATGCTATTTAATCAATATCATTTTATAGAGAACTGGCTACTAGATATTGTTTCTATGCTATTTAATCAATGTCACTTTATAGAGAATTGGCTACTAGATATTGTTTCTATGCTATTTAATCAATATCACTTTATAGAAAACTGGCTACTAGATATTGTTTCTATGCTACTTAATTCAATGTCACTTTATAGAGAACTGGCTACTAGATATTGTTTCTATGCTATTTAATCAATATCACTTTATAGAAAACTGGCTACTAGATATTGTTTCTATGCTATTTAATCAATGTCACTTTATAGAGAACTGGCTACTAGATATTGTTTCTATGCCACTTAAGAGAACTGATTCTATGATGTACGATAGAACTTCAGAGTTAAACTTAAAAATAAGGTTTACCGTTAATTTTTGTAGGCTACATGTTACCTAAACAACATTTGGCAGATAATTCACACATTTTGAACTATCTAAGATGAAATCCCTTGAAGAGAAGTCCTGGTAGTATTAAAATAAGAATTTCTTAGTGGTGTAACTTTTTAACTCAGATGTAGATGTAGAACAAGCCCTTACTCATAAAAACTATGATCATCAATGACAATATGATGTACCTGCAGTGTGTGATGTGTCTGTTACAACAGAAAACAAATGTTGTAAGACATCAGTGTAGTAAGTCTGGTAGAAACTTTGAGCAGCAGCTTCCTCTTGGCTAACATTCTGTAACAGCTGATATAAGATGTGAAGACCTGAGAAAAAAAAACATTTAAGGACATTAATGAAAGCCTATACAATTGAAACTACCATTACAAGTATGCTGTGTTCTATTGCACATTATTTAACAGATTGAAACATTTTACAACACATACCTTTGTCAATGTTAACAAGTTTTCAGGCTTTCATGTAAACCAACCACACATCCTGGTGTATTAACTCTCAAATTACAGACCGGTTTTTATATTGTTCATTATCCGTGGAATTCACATTGCACCATATCAAATAATTTTATGTTTTTGCCTGTTACCACACCCAGTGTGAACAACTGACCAAGTATGTGGTGAAATAAATCAGTTTCTATGAAAAATACATTAAGGTTTGTTAGTTCGCTTATTGATATTCGTGCAAAGCTCTACACTAGCCATCCCTAAATTTTGAAGTGATGGATGAGAGGGAAAGCAGCTAGTCAACCCCATCAACTTTCAACTCTTGGGCTACTCTTTACCAATGAATAGTGGAATTGACTGTCACATTATAATGCTCCAAGGCTAAAAGGATGAGCATATTCAATGCTCCATCCCACAACTTGCCGGTTGTAAGTTGAGCACCATAATCACCAGCTATGACATTAAGAATCTCAGCATTAATTAGAAAGATTAATTACAATAATAGTGGTATATCTAATTTGTGTGTATGTGTAACTTCTATGCTTGTTTGTTGTTAAGCACAAAGCTATAACATGGGCTATCTGTGCATTGCTACAGCATATATCCAAACCTAATTTTTTAGCTCTGTAAATCCTCAGACTAACAGCTGAATCAATGGTGGTGGCTTGTATGTTATTAGGAACTTTGTAACCAACAAAGTAATACACCCATCAGTAATTCTAGGATTAATAATACTTCGCCAAATGTATTTCCTGAACTTTTCCTGTCAAAAAAAAAGTGTATCACTGGATGTAGGTAAAAGATTCAAAATTATACTATTATTAAACAGTTAGGTTTACCAATATTATGTTTACTACAGTGTAACTACTACTCAATAAGACTGTGAGAAATGATCAGGAGAGCTGTAAATAACTACATACTTAAAATGAAATTTAACATCAAAGTTTTCCTTAAGATTCAAAATTTTTTACCCTTTAATCCTATGGATAAGGGCCTCATGTATTTTACACAACCTTGCAACCACCATGAACGTATAAAAACAAAATAATATTGAAAGTACTTAATGTATCTTCATGTAATTTGGCAAGCTTTTAGTAAACAAGTCTTTTGTATGCAAAAAACAGTTTTTTTTAATAACATACTTTTACTAAAGACTTGTTCATGAATATATGGAGTCAGAGTGTTCAATTGTCTAAGTGGAAAGTGGCTTTCATGATAATGTTAAAAATATTTTTATTCACCTTACATAACCTCTACAACTTTGTAAACAATATCAAACATTTTTCTTTTAAGTAAAACTTTATATTTGTTACTTTCTCTATCTTAACTCTATTTGGACTCGGTCGATTTGACCAACATTGTAGCCACCACAAAGAATATTAAAAAAAGTCTAAATTACCTTTTTTTTTCTAAAACTACTTCTGATAGTAACAGAAAACAACTACAGATGTCGCATGAACAGCAGTGAAACACTGTTTTAATATGATATATATTTTCTATCCATTTTAGTTGTTTTCTGAATTTTTTAAATTCTGTTGGGTGTGGGGTACCTCTAGCATCTATAAGTGCTGTTTATCCTAAGTAGATTAATCATCATAACAGTCTACATCTGTATCTACTTAATTTCTTTGTTTTACTATCTTTTGAACATGTCTAACTAATAATCCCATGATACAAGCAGTAAATGATTCAACAAATATGTAGATAAAATTACTATATTGAATGATGTAATGCATGAGCTACTTGCAAGCATACCTTGTAAAGGAATTTTATTATTATTATTACTATTTTTTATTATTTTACTTGATCTAACCTCAGAAATTTCTTAGTTTTTAAATTTTAGTTACTTTTATAACAATAAATAGAGAATATTCATATAAAACAAGAAATTTAGTTCTTACATTTGCTTGGCCTAATTTTTAGCTGCAGACCCTCCATTGAAATTTAAGCTTACTTTTTTTTGTAATGATGATACATTAAAATTAAACAATTTTAATTATTTGAAGTATGTACAGAGAACTCAAAATAATAACATATATAATGTAATCAGTGTCCTATAAATATTACAGGTTAGCTGGCTTTCTTTCTAATTAAGGCATAAGTGCCTTAAAATAATTACCCTAGCTACTCAATCTGAACTGGGCAATAGCAACTTTTAACCTGTAGATGGAGTAACTAAAACTCTATACTGAAAACAATGCAGTATTATAATTTTTATTGGTAAATTAAAACTTTGCCTTCCTGTTGGTTACAAATGATCTAACAGAACATAAGAAAGAATTATTGACAATTTGTGAAAGAGAGGATGAAATAGATGGGAGAGGCAAGTAGGTCTGACTTTCTAGTTTATGTCTCAATAAAACTGTAAAAACAAAGAGTTAAGGCTATAAAAATTATACTTTGCCTTAGTATAATACTAATACTACAATGAGTAATTTACATTAAACTCAGTAGCCCAAAGAGGGGTGTTGAAAAAAATAATAGGATGGGCAAAATGTAGCAAACAAATGTCAAAATTCTCCTTCAAGGAGAGATTGATGATTTCAATATTTCCTTTTACAATTAGGAAATTAAAAGTTATATAATATCAAAAGTTGATTTATCAAGTACAAGCTGAGGTACCCACCTTTGTCCAAGTTATGAACATATAAAAAAAAATGTGTGGGTGGATGCTATGATAAATAACACAAAAATCTTAACTTTTACACAATATATTTATAGTATAACATATTATTACAGTATTCATTATTACCCCACCACAAGTTTTGTATAAACTTTAATAACTCAATATGTATATACTTAAAACAGGGATACACTGTGTGATAAACAGGAGATTTTGTAGGAAGAGGTAGCAGCCAATATAGTGGCAGTAGAGGTGCTTTTGATTACCTGCTTTCAACACCCATCTCTTATTAATGTCCCTCCACAGTGTTTTATGTGTTTAATTAATTGACAGTCATTGGCCACAGAAGTGCATTAAAGGCCAAAGTTGAAAGGTCACAGGTCAAAGTAGGAAGTAGGTATAACTCAAGAAATGGCTTTTCATATTAACCTTATGGTGGCTGTTGGAGTAGAAACTTCAGTTCAGTTTATGTATTATCACAATAGTGGCAGCCATTCTTTTTCATTGCATTCCTCTGTAGAGAATGGTAGTGCACTCTTCGAGATATATAAGACACTCTATGTTGTGTTATAGAAAATTTAATATAGTTTTTTTGTTGTTGTTGTAAGGATGTGGCACTATTTATTTATGTAGTAAACTTACATCAAAGATAATAAGTGTTCAATAACAGCAATAATGAGGGGGTGGATCCCCCATTAACATGCCCCTTGTTACAACCTATCATCCCACAAAGTTTGGTTAAGATTGGCCCACAACCTAGGAGTAATTAGATAACAGACAAACAAATTTTTGTGATTTACACACACATATATATGTGTGTGTGTGTGTGTGTGTGTGTATTTTTTTTTTTCTTTCTTTTGATGCCAAGTTCATTCTTACTCATTCATAATATATTAGTTTAATTACGTATTAAATATAACTCACTAAGAGGTTGTAACAATCAACTTTAATCTACCCATAGAGAAAGTGTGTGAGTATATTAGTTACTGAGTTGATAGAAACATCTAAAAAAAATTTAACAACACAATAAACATACCATAAAATAAATTGTACAATATATCAATAAAAAAGAAAACGAGATCCCGAGTTTATTTAGAACTAATAATGATCAAATAAGAATTTAATAAAACTTAAGTATTAAGAAATTTTCTTTTGAGTTAGTAGTGAAAAAATATTTCTCATTTTCACAGTAAATTCCCAAGCCAATCACATATTCAACACAGATCTTGAACGATGAAGGGCGGTATATTTAGAAAGTTTTTTTTTAAAGTTTAAAAGTTACATATTATACTTGTAAAATCAAGACTAATAAACACTTACCATTTGTACTTTGTCCCCCATCCTCTAAATAACTGAAATTACACATCACCAACAGAAATATAAAAAAATATTCTAAAAATGCTATTTCTGAGCCACTCATTCCAGATCATGACTTTATTTAAATGCTGGACCTTTGGGATACAACATTTTTCTCCTTATATGTACAAAATTCACAAACTAATGTGTGTATAGAATCCTCTGATTGGCACTAACTGTTTTAACAGCAACATATATATTGAGAATGTTAAACAGCAAGTTGTTTTGTACAACTTAATACCTGTGTCAGCCACATTTCTCATAGTATGTTTAAAAGCCCAGATGACAGAATCTAGCACCAACTTGAACTGTGCAGGAGGGATGTTTAGTAGAGCTAGAAGATAAAAAGAAAAAAAACTGTTTAAAAATTAACTTTCATGATTTCAAAGTTATGTTATTCCTTTTGTAACTCTTATCCTACATGACAACACAGAGTAATGTATGTCATATACCAAGCAACCATTGAATGGCTCCTCTAAATTAAGCAATCTGGCATCATTTTAAACTAAAATTTGTAATAACCACCATATAGTGATTGATTAATTTATGAATCTTAAACGTAATGGTAACAGTTAAGAACCAAAATCAACTACAATGTTTATTATGAAGAAAGTTTATAAAAGATTACCTTTATACTCCAGATATTTATAAAATAACTTTTTTATTTTAATGAACATTTCACCTTTGCAGCTTTATCAGGGTTAATTATACACATTTAGATTTTTTCCAGAAACTCAAACAAGATTAGAATTTTCAATCACATTAAAATATTTGTTGCTTTCATCAAAATAAACTTAACCCTTTCCAGTCCAATATATTGTGTTTTTCATAAAGACGTATTAGCATTAAATTTTAGAAATGTTGTCATGGTCTCCCACTCAAATCTCCTACAAAATAAAATTATACCTGAAATGTTAAAATTGGGTTTTATTTTCATACAACTATTATTAATATTTGTTTTGGATAAGAAAAAATTAAAATCCAAACTGCTAACCCTAATTTCCAATTTTTTGCCACCCATCTGTAATTTTGATTGGGAGAAGGAACATTTAAAATTCCAACCTGTATTGATAAAACTTTTGGACAAAAGAAAAGAAAGCTACAAGTCTATGGTCTTTGTACATGTTTCCTGATTAGTTGTAGCACAAATATCTAAAACTCAATTTTTAAGTTGTGTCAAAAACTGCAAATTCAATTAACAAACTTTTTACTTTATAACTACTAAACCTAATAAAACCATAAATACATCATATCAAAATTAAAATTACTTTCTTTTTTGCACTACTTGCTGAAAAGTGCCATTTCTTTCTAAATATACAGATGCAAGCTTCCCTTTAGTTACATGCATTTGGATATTTAAGCTATAACGTGGTTTTGGTTTGTCATGTGCCTCAGTAAATGAATGAAATTACTTTTGGCTTTGCAGTACTTCCTGTTGGTAATTTAAAACTACTGGAAACTTGTGGTGGACCTCACCATGGTGTAATCTTACAGATCAGTAGAAGTTTTTCTTTGTAGCTGTAAATAACTTTGAATAGGAATACAGTAATGATGCAAATTTTATAACTAATAAATAGTAATATTATCCATTTTTATCAGTTTTAATGATATATATATATACTATATTCTATAGCAAAAGTTCTTTCAACAAAGTAGAAGAGCATATGATGTTACTAGCCCTGTTACTGTATTGCTGTTAATAAGTTTGTGAAACATTCCTTTCAGGGTAACAGTGTAGTATATGTATACCTATATTATGCTTTTTTTTTTACTTCCTTATAAATCATGAATTTAAAACCAATGTCTAAGTTCAAAAACATTCATTGTTATAGTACATTATGTTTGGAGTGTCAGTTTGATATATGGTGATGTTTATGAATTAATAACTTTTATGAAAAAGTAAATATTACCACATGCCCAGAATGTGTGACTAGATGCAAGATCTTTTAGTTGAGAACATTAATCATTAAATTATATATGCTTTATTTATAATAGATTAATGGTCGATACATATTACTAAATATACATCTGTAATGGATAAATTTGTGTGCCACTGTTTCTTACACAAAACTACAAAATTTTTATAGGTTCATTTGATGGTTCTTTTTATTCCTAAAAATGTTTTGTGTTAAGTTATGTTTCAAAGCTACAGGAACTTTCTTCTATGACAAGACATTAGTAGGTTTAGTTAAGTTAAATGAGTACAGTCAAAAACAGCAAACTATTTTTACTGAATATAATAATTATTGTGATCAAACAACACTAACCAATGACGTATTTGTTGAAATCAAGCTATTTTTTTTAAAGATACAAACAGATCTTGACCATGCAAGAATGATGTTGGTAAAAATCACAATATCTAGTCTGGTAACGGTAATGCTGTTTTTATAGATAAGGTCCTTTATCAACAATAAGACTCACTTTTTGCTGTATTTTTTAAATTCTATAACCAGAAATGGTGACTGCTTCAATCAGCCAAATAAAGTAGCAAAGGAAATATGGTAGTGACAGGAAACAAGTTTAAACTGGCTGGATATATAAAAATGGAACTTTCTGAACAATAATTAAAAAATTTAAATCCTTACTTGAAAACAAGTGTTTTAATTTTTTTTCAAAACACTGTCCCATAACCTTGGAAATTTTACCCCTTAAACAATAAAAGAACTACTAAATCACAGTCTACATTTTAAAAAAGTATCAACTATACACTATTTAAAGAGTTGTACTAAGTTTCATGCAAGTTATTAAAATTTTCCCACTATGGGAAGGGAGATATTAGAAAGGGTTAAACTGTAATTTTCTTCACATACCAGGAAAGCAGTGTGATACAACTGCTTGAAGTAGTAGAAAGAAATTGGTCCTGTGTTCAGGAAACTCTTCAAAGTCCTTAAAACACATAAAAAGCACATACATATGTGTAATTATTTATTTGAATATATTGAAATGATAAACGTTAACACAAGTGACTTATGACAGGTTTGAAGTAGTTTTAAGGTTAGGATAACCTCAAAATAGAGATTATTTTCTATAATTTTTTTTCAATTACTGATTAAACTTGACACAGAATTTACTGAATCAAACACAGTGGCACCTCACCCACCTCTTTCCATTTCAGGAAATGCTTCCTTATATACATTTACTCCTATATATGACATGAATAACCAATCGGAAGCTCAGAATGTCCCCCTAATGGCTTTCTTACCCACTTTAATGAACAAGGCACCATTCCTTTCTTTTGAATGAATATTTCGACGAGGTAGGGTGTGTCTTTAGTCTGCTCGAAATTTCAGTTTTTTAGAATAAAATACATTTTAGTTACTAAGCTTTATAAATTATAGTGGAATTCTATGGCATTAATGTAGTAATTTATGATTTTTTTAGTTATTCAAATGTATATATTAAACCTAAAAAAATTATTTTGTTTCATATCTTCCACGTGCAATGCTTTTAAAGGCTTAGCAACCTACATAAAGCAGCACCAAGTACAAAGGTTGTAACTAGAAGAGATAATTGTTTGCTTTACTACTTTAGTTACTGTTCTATGTTTATGAAAAACAAGTTTAAGAACTTATTTCAAAATAGCAATAATCTATATATGTATGTAATGTATAATAATTGAAATTTGACTGTATTTTACAAAATACTAGTCTACTGAAACACAGCCAAGATAAGTTACTTTGCACAGACCAAAGGTCAGTTATTTGATAGGGTAACATGAGTGCACGTGAACCACGTCATTGTTACTTCTGTATTGTTAGCCAGGCATGGCTGAAAGATCAATATAAAAAAATAATCAATATATATATATATATGTATAATGTTATGACATTTAAGCTATTTAATCTAAACATTTATATTTTCATGTTATAATT